GTCCCAGTCCGGTATGGGTGCGACACTGAGGGTTGCGATCCGTTGCCGGTCACGAAAAAAGACAAAAAGGAAAAAAAAAATTTGATGAATAAATAAATGAATTATCAAAAATAGTTTTTGTTTCACTTTCACAGTTCACTCAGTGTCTAGGAGAACTTAAGGAGCTCTTACAACAGGAAATCCAAAAGAAATTCAATGAACGTGGACAAGATATGGATTTAGAAGGAAGCTGGTGTGACATCTCTTTGTCTGACATTGAATCTAGGTAACAAATTTTATTTCAGAGAAAAAACAAGTTTTATTTTTTTTAAAAATTTGGTTTTTTTGCTCTTTTGGTTTTGGTTTTGGACCTTAAGTACAAAGAATTGAGTAAATAATACTCCTCAGTTTATGCACTTAAATACACTTCATTCCTTCAGCAATTATGTATTGAATGCATATTCTTTGCCAGCCTCTATTCTAGGCACTAGAAAGGGATAGGGAATTGGGCAGGTAGTTTGTTTAGGGCCTTGTAGGCAATTGTAAAGCCTTTGCCTTTTATTCCAAGGGAGATAGAAAGCCTTTGGAAGGTTTTGAGTAGAGAAGCACTATGATCTGACTTAGAGTGTTCCTCTTGAAACACTCTGGCTACATTGTGGGAAATAGATTGTAAAGAGGAAAGGTCTAAGCAGCGAGACTCATTAAGAGGCTCTTGCAATAATACAGGTGAAAGGTGATGGTGGCTTAGACCAGAGTAGTAGTAGTGATAGCGGAAACGTGTGAATTGGTTAGATTATAGATGTATTTTGAAGTTACAGACATTAGAAGTTGCTTATGGATTGGATATGGGTCAAGAGAGGGAGAATGACTCTGCAATTGATTGGATGGGGTTGCCTTTAACTGAGATGATCAAGTGGGTAGAAAGGGTTAGGAAGTTGGTAAAGATCAGGAGTCAAGTTTAGGCTTGTTAAGTTTGTGATGTCCATTAGACATTTAATGGAGATATTGAATAGGCAGTTGAATATATGAGTCCGGAATTCAGTGGAGAAGTCCAGTAGAGAGAGTCATCAACGGATAGTTGATATTTAATCCTTAAGACTGGATGAGATCCCAAGGGAGTAAGTACAGACAGAAAAGAGGTCCAAGTCCGAGTTGGACATCACAACTCTAATAGAGTCAAAGAAATAGGAAGGAACCAGCAAAGGAGACTGAAAGGGGACCAGTGAGGCTGGAAGAAAACCAGGAGAGTGATTCTTTTTAAAACCTAGATCATGGGCCGGCCCTGTGGCTCACTCGGGAGAGTGTGGTGCTGATAACACCAAGGCCAAGGGTTCAGATCCCACATAGGGA